ATATCGACTCATGACGTCAGTCGATTCATATCGACCTATATCGACTCATGACGTCAGTCGATTCATATCGATTGATATCGCTTCATATCGATTGATATCGATTCATATCGATTGATATCGATTCATATCGATTGATATCGATTCATATCGATTCATATCGATTCATATCGATTGATATCGATTCATATCGACTTATATCGACTCATATCCTAATCAGATGAATTTTTTTATCCGCCCATAACGCGCCATCGCTAATCTCTACAAAAAAATGTGTTTGCAGAAATATTAATCTTTGTTCTGTTACGAAATATTATTTAAAAATTGGTCTCACAAAAAACCTAATCTTCCACTTGATGTCCGAAAAGAAAAATAATGTATCATACGCAGAATTTTTATGACTCTTTCATTATCTACATGCGTTAATTGCAGGTGGCTTATCCACGAGCCTAATGATTTAGGCGGTCAACTTAAATGGCTGGCAGATACACTGCTGGAAGCTGAAGAAAACAGCGAATTCGTTCACATTATCACCCACGTACCCTCGGGGAGTTCCGACCAGCAGAGCACCTGGAGTCGAGAGTACCGGAGGATCATCAATCGATTTGCAAACATAATTACCGGACAGTTCACTGGTCACACTCACAGGGACGAGTTCAATATTTTTTATGACCCGCAGGATTTCTCCAAAATTATTAATGTCGCTTGGAATGGCGGCAGCATAACCACTTGGGCTTTTGTTAATCCTAATTACCGAACTTGCACAATCAACAGTAAAACCTACGTACGTACACAATTATTCGTAATTTCAATAATTTCAATTGATAATTAATTAATTCTGGAAATTTATGAGACTCAAAATCGTAAATTCATCAAATTTATGTAAAAAAAATGTGCAAAATAGAAATTTTGTAAATGTTTTCCATTGGGAAATCCTAGAAAATCGAATTTCACGAAAATTGCTTAAACTATAATTATTTGTTGTCACGTTTCGCGCTAATTCATATTATAAATTGAATTTATATCAATCAATCTATCATATAAATAATTTATATCAACGAATTAGTGCAAAATGTTCTAACAAATGATCAGAGTTGAAATAATTTTCCATGTTAATTAGGAAGTGGAAGACGTAGATAATTGGATGTACAATATGACAGAAGCGAATTTAACTCCTGACGAACCACCGAATTGGGTAAAATCCTATAGCTTCAAGGATGAATATGGCCTTGAAGATCTGTCTTATAACAGCATCCGTGATTTAATAATTGAACTCTCCAAAGAAGGTCCCAAGGCAACAATTTATCACAGGTAATTCATTCACTTTTACTTCTCAATCAGTCAATGAACCGATATTCACTTTTCAGACACATGAGCAAAGATGCGAAACTCGCCTGGAAACCGTGGGACTGCGATGCAAAATGTGCCCTAGAAAATGCCTGCAGAATTGTTACTAGTGCTAGCACTAATAACACGGATTGTAATTACCTTGAAAATCTCACGTCTTGAGAAAGAAAAAGGTGTAATCGTAATGCACAGTGATTCCATGAATTAATGATGCATTTTAAAATCATTAATAATATTAATAATAATATACATTTCCCATGAAAATCAAAAAATATTTAAATTGTTTTGCTGTCAGTAATTATAATTATAATTACGTAAACTAAATTGTCGTTGGGTAAATAGATTTGTTAACATTCATTAATTCTATCTGTTTTACAATATTGTTTATTATTTATTAATTTATTTATTAATCATGGTCGTGCAGGATTTTGGAATTGAGTGTTTCCGCAATTTTCTTCTGCCATCAGAGATTTTTTAGTTTTTTAAATAATTTATAGGAAGAATCCTGTTGCAGTAATTATTATCAACAAGATCGGATTCAATTTGCAATTGCAAACAATCACCTTCAGCACTTGGTTTTTTTTCATTTGGACAATTTTGATAAATGTTATTCAAGATTGAAGGAAAGGTTTCTTAATTCTATATTTTATATTACATTTATATTTAACGATTTCTATTGTTCAATTTATTGAGTTATATTATTGTTGCGAGAAATTGGATCGAACCCGGATGTTTATCCGCGTCAACCGATATAATTGGGTATCAGATTGATGATCGTAGATAATTCTTATTTTTCTACAGATATCTCGATGGAAAAGTGTAGAAATATTTTCGAACATTAAAACAGTCTAGTGATTGCACCGCATCTGACATGTATGTCTCAGCGACTTTCTTGGTTGCAATCGCAATTTTTATTGATTGCAGCCGCTCTGCTGCACTCGAAGGTAATCAAATAATCCGCCAATTAATTCCATCAAAAAATAATTGCTTATCGTTCTGAAAAATCGAAACTAAAAGCCGTTTTTCTTTTTTCAAAAATCTGAATTAGCGTTTCGGAATTGAAAGAAGGATTTCTGCAATGAGAATTATTAAAATGTTCCCAAAAGAGTTAAAAACTATTTAATTTTTTTTGCAGATGACGTGACAAATTTTTCGTATGAAATCTCCAAATTGGCGAGGACGAGAAAATCATCTACTGCTTTGGAAAAATTGATAAAAAATTTAGCACTTCCTGAAAATTGGCATGCAGATCCCAAAATTAGTATCGACGAAGTGAGCCCTCGGGTGACCTGCACAACCTGCAAGGCTTTTGCTAAAAGTATTCTTGAATTAAGACGCAATGGAACAACCGCAGAAGCTATTCAAGACACAATAATCAATCTGTGCATTCGCTTACATCTTCATACAGAAAGTGTCTGTCGTGGATCTACAAAACTCAATGCAGTAAATTTAAAAGTCTCATCACCCCTCAGCGATTCGCGAAAGCCAACGATCCACAAGAATAATTTTTTTATTTATAAAGTGCAGATGGACAGTTTCAATTTTTTTCGAAAAATGCTTTCTGCAAAAAAATTTCAAAAGTCAGAGAAAAATCCATAAATATTATAAATTTTTTATTTTTATTTCTTAATCATTTTGATTCTTAAAAATTAGAGCAACATTTTTGAATTTTTTACTCAATTTCAGTTTTTATTTATTTTTTCATCCTTAAAATTTGAATTTTTATTGAATTTCAGTTTTTTATTTTAAACGTGAAAACATCTAAATTTCTTGCGTTTTGTCATTATTTGACGATTCCCGAAATTCCAAAGTGGCGCGAAAATTTTCCCGCGTTTTTTCAATTTAAAAAAAAATCACAAAACTGTATAAATGAGAAAATGGCAGAAAATCATCGAACCGCCACAAAACTTCTTGAGCCATTAAATAACGACAAACTGATAGAAAGTTATATTTTTTACATCAATTCCATCAATAATTTGCAAAATAAAAAAAAATAGTTTAATGTGAATTTCAGCTATACGTGAATGTGAATAATTTTTAATGAAATTTATCTTTCACTTATAATTAAACAGCCAGTTTTCTTCTGGATCATCGACAACGATCCAACGGTCACAGCAAACGATTACTGTGCACTTGCCCTGCAGAATTCTCATTGCGTTTCAGCACCAGCTAAATTCGAATGGACAGTGGAGATTGACAGGAGTCCGCCAAAATTGCTGGATGCAACACCATCAGAGGAACACCTAAAAATAGTTCACGTCTCGGACATTCATTACGATCCCCTCTACGAACCTAATGGAAATGCCAAATGTGGTCAGCCCAATTGCTGCCGAAAAGGCCAAGGACCATCACCTGCAGGTGCACCTCCTGCTGGTTACTGGGGGGATTATCGTGTCTGCGACACACCCTGGCATGCAGTCATTGATGCTCTGGACCACATAAACAAAACTCATTCGGTAAATATGTTTATTTACTTTGTTTGCAATTTTTTATAAATAAATACCATTTGGTTGACATCTCTTCCTCAAGAATATCAAGAATTCTTTCAATTAATTATTTTTTTATTAAATTCCTCAGGATGCTGAATATATTTATTATACAGGTGACATCGTCGATCACGGAGAATGGGAAACAACTCGTGAAGGAAATATAAAAATAATACAAGATGTATTTAAAAAAATTAAAACGACCTTCAAAGACACTCCGGTGTTTCCAATAATCGGAAATCACGAGGCGAATCCTTTGAATTTGTAAGGATCCGTTATTTAACTTATGATTTTTGACAATTTATTAATTGACTTCGTGTTTTTAGATTTGCCTCTGCAAAAGTTGATGATGACAAAGTGTCAACCAAATGGCTGTACGAATTATTAGCTGACATCTGGATAAATTATGGCTGGCTTCCAGAATCCACCAGGAGTTCAATCCTCCAGGGGGGATTTTACACACTTTCTCCCAGGAAAGGATTTCGAATTATTGCCCTCAATAATAATGTGGCGTACACGTATAACTGGTAAAATATATATATTAATTAAAGTATATATTATATTATATTATATATATATATTAATTAAAGTATATCATATGTATTAAACCGATTCATTTCTTAAGAAATTTTTTTTTTCATTTGATTTTTCTTAAAAAAGTATATGAATATATATAGATATATATATATATATATATATATATATATAACAAACAACAAACAACAATAATGAATCAAAAAGATAATGACAATCAATCAACTTTCAGATAAAAATTACAATCTTTCCCTGAAGATCTTCCAAAAACTCGAGACCAATAGCGATTAAAATACATAACTAATCTTTAGATTAAGATTAATTAATCTTCTCGTGCTGATGACTCAGGTGGCTAATCTACGAGCCAAAGGATCTGGGAGGTCAACTCAAATGGCTGGCGAATACTTTGCTCGAGGCTGAAAAGAACAAAGAGTTCGTCCACATTTTGGTTCACGTGCCCTCGGGCAATCATGACCAGCAGAACACGTGGAGTCGAGAGTATCGAAAGATTATAAATCGATTCTCCCACATTATTGCTGGACAATTCAACGGTCACACTCACAGTGATGAGTTCAATATTTTTTATGAACCCAGAAACTTCAGCAATATTATCAACATCGCCTGGAATGGGGGCAGCATAACCACTTGGTCATACGTTAATCCCAATTACAGAACTTACACAGTAAATGGGAAAACCTACGTGAGTCCCAGATTTATTTTCTTCAAGAATTATGAAACAGTCCCATAATTTCAGTTTTACCACTTGATTTTTCCTCTTGATATTGAATATTTATTAATTACAGAAAATATTTCAATGCAGAATTTCTCTCTTTAGTTCTAGGGAATAAGTTTTGAATGATGAGAATTGAATTAAATTAAAAAATCAATTAAAAATTAACTGAAACCAACATTTTGGAATAATCAATAAAAATAAAAATCATTGATAATTCATTAATAATTAAGAGAACATTTGCAAGAAAGGGCATAATATTTTATCAGCAGTTCTGTGAGACTTTAGGAGTGGAATAGAAGTCGAATTTTTGCATTTTGCTCTCTTATTTGATGGAAATTGATGTATTTTCCTTTTTGGATTAATGAAGAATGTTTTTCTGGATATCTAGGACGTGGAGGACGCAGATAATTGGATGTACAATCTCACAGAAGCCAATTTGACCCCTGAAAAGCGGCCTAACTGGGTGAAATCGTATTCATTCAAAGAAGAATATGGACTAAAAGATTTATCCAAAAGAAGCATAAGTGATTTGGTCGTTGAATTATCCAAGAAAGGCCCAAAATCGACGGCTTATCACAGGTAAAAGATAAATAAAATCAATCAATCGATCAATTGCATATTTTTTTGTTTCCAGGCACATGGCGAAAGATGCGAAAATAAAAGGAAATTCCTGGAACTGTGATAAAAAATGTGCCATCAAGAATGTGTGCAAAATAGTCACTAGCGTTAATAACAATAATGCTGATTGTAATTACATCAAAGGACTGAAGCCTTAAAAGATATGTAGAGTAATCATTACAATCAATTTAGTCTGATGCGGATTGACTCTACAATTTAGTGCGCAAGCCAACAATTCCCGAAATTACGATTTCTATGAGAAATAATCGAAGAAAAATGTTAACTTTTATATTTTTAAATTTATTTTTCACTCTACAATCAACGACTGAATTGGAGTTCGTTAACACTTCATTAATATGAGCTTTTAATTTATTTAATTGATTGATTCTGTATGGATAAACTTATAAAAAAATACGATTTCAATTCGATCTATTGCATTTCTAATAACTATAATTATCCATATGTACAAGGGAGACTCAATCGTCTGTCGAGGGAGAGCTAATACTAAAAAATCATATCTACAATTGATTCTGTAATAGATTTTTGTAATTCACCCACTTGATATTTCTCTTCGAAATCAACTGTTCGAATGGTATTTTATCCAACATAATCATCTGGAAAAGAATAAAATCAATGAGTGAAAAGGTTTGAGTTGAAATTTTATAAGAAAGCTGATTGATTCACCGTTTTGCGAACGTAAATGACTAATTTCTCGACGATCTCAGGGTCGTTACACTCTGATTGTAGAAACCTTCTCCAAATGGCCCCAGCCAGGACTTTGTCACTGCCCAGGAGACCCTCGTCGTATCCAATTATTGCTGCATTGAACTGGTATCCCAATTGCTTCATATGATCCTTCACCACTGTTTCTTTAACATTCTGTAAATAATAATTACTTCATAATCATCAATTGCTCAAAATTCCAGGATAGGATCTCATTTATAACATGAAAATATCAAATAATTTGTCTCTACATCCTATAAACTGTGATTTTAATGATTAACAATTGTTTAAAAAACTAAAAAAAAGTAGAAGACCCTGACAATTTATAAAAAATGTAAAAGCCATGATGATTCAATAGAAACAATCGAAAGAGGATAATGGTAAATTTTTCAGCAGAGTGAATTGGATAAATTAATTGAAAAAAATTTGCATCTTACACCGAGTTGTTTCTTCCTCACATTTGCGTCTTCCCACATTGCTTCAACGATATACTTCCTCGACTCCTGTCCTCTTATTCCGTCGTTCATCACTTTTACCATCAGCATCCACACGTGGAGCTCTGTCACCAGAAACCAGGAAAAGAATGTGTCTGCCATTCTGAACTCTATACCAATTATTTAAAAAATAAATATCTTTAGAATATTTATCAAGGATATCACGAAATTATAATATTATAATCAAGAATTATCTTGTCTCGATTAAAACGTATAAGAATTGACAAGAAAATTTATTATTCATCAAAGGATAATTAAGACTAGAAAAATTAATTCAAATCGAATTAATTAAAATGGAATGAATTGAGAGAAATAAGTGCGCGTTAATAATTCCAAAGACAAAAGTGAATTGAATAATTACCTAAATATATAATGCAAGAATATAAAACGATATTTTTTTTCAAATTATTGGATTGTTATCAATTATTATTATTTGATTCAAGAATTGATTGTTTTCCAGAAGCCATTCGTATTTTGATTTTGAAAAAGGACTAGAAAGTAATATAACATAAATTCCACTAGATTCTTTGAGGATTAAAAATCAGTTAAATTATTTCACCTTTTAAAAATCCCAGATAATCGATTTCATCCATAGCATCTCTGTATACGCACCATGCGAGGGGTCTCAGTTTCTGGAAAAAAGGAGAAGGAAATTATTTTCTAGAGTTAGAACTAGAGTATTTAAGGATCGTTTTAAAAATTTGGAGAGTAAAAATCAAAAGACGAATACATTGGATGATGATGAATGAGTGAAAGGAATACTTACATACTTCTTGATCAAAAAGAATTTCAATTTTTCCCAATTTCTAGAGACGACCCCTTGTTCATTTTCGATTGCAGCCGTGGAAAAAACTGTAGGTGTCGTGCTGATTTCTTTGAAATGTCGTGAGGACAGGCCGGATGATGGAATCTGACACCTGGACAGAGATCCAACATTTACTGCGAGCTCCGGTCTAGCTCCTAAACTCCTGACCACAACCTGAGAACATGAGCAAACGGAATTGAAGCAGTGAAAATAATTTGAAATTATATCCAAAGACTTTCTAGATTCAAATATTTCTCATGACGAAATTGCCAAAAGAATTACATAATTAGGTTATTGCATTAATTATTATTTCATCAGCCCTGGGAATCTGTCACAATAATATAAATAAATAAATTTACAATTTACAATCTTCCAAGGATAATTGTTAAAATATTGCACTGACCCTTTGGTATTCAAATATTTAATATTAAAATTCAAAATTCTCTCCGTAATCTAATAAAACTAAAAATTAGAATTGAATTACATAATGAAAATAAACAGGAATCCATGAGTCATGTAAATATACCTTTCAATAGTTATTAATAAAAGATCCGTAACTCAATACGAAATATTTAATAATTTTCAGAATTCTCGTGTTTCTGCTGCTTCCAAATGATTAATCAAATCAAAATCAAAATTGAATTTATCATCTTTTCCCCAAGACTGTATCCAGCAGTCCTTCTGAAGACAACTAACCAACAATTCCCTAAATCTCATCATTCCCCCCAATGAATTAAAAAACCGACTCCACCCCATCAAAAATAAAACCGAATATTGAAATCCCACGTGAAAAAATCTCCAGGAACCCCTGTCCCCTCACGACCCCAAAAACCGATTGATTCCTAGATGATCATCTGGAGTCCCTGAGAAAATCCGGCATCTCCAACTGCTCCAGGGGTGAACTCCTCCAGACATCTTCAACATCTGCCCCAACCTCTGCTGCAACTCATCCCCAAGATCCAACAATCCATCAATACCATCAGGAAGAAATAACAGCCCCAAGAAATTCCAGGGTATCTTCACAGGTTAACACCTGGTGAACTCTGAATAACTCACCCTGACTGATGACAACCTGTGCATCCAACTCATCCTGTCAACTCAAATCTCCAAGTGTCACACCAAAATCAGCCCTGATCTCCAGAATTCGTCAGACTCTCTCCATGAGCATCAGCGAGCATTCAGAAATATTGAGAAATTACGAACGCAAAATTTCCACTTTTCCACCAAACGGCGAACTCTCGAACTTAACCATCGAAATAAAAAAAAACATGGAGGACACCCGGTGGTCTTGAGTGGGGCCTCAATACACTTCACCAAGCACATTTCAGTTATTAATTTCTTCCAATAAATTCATCTCCATCCACACCAAATCATCATAAACGGTAAAAACAATAATTATTTATTTATTAACCCAGTCATAAATTTCCCCCATTAATTGATTGACTCATTAAACCGAGGAGAGACCTGGCCTTGCCTTTTCCCCATTCGATATAATTCTGGCCCAGTACTAGATATTGCTCCTTTATTCATCACCCAAAAAATAATTACCCCCTCAACTCCCCGAAATGATATCCATATTTATTAACACTCCATTAACAAAAGTTATTATTTTTTTCTTCACAGCACGATTATTCCACGTTTTGTCCATAGAGAAAAAATTGCAACACATTTCGAGTACTTTGGGTACCTAAATCAAGTACTTGAGTTGTTGATTGGAGGTCATGGGTTGAGTCTTTTTATCATTTTTATTTTATCAGTGGAATTGAAGGAATTTTTGAAAATTTTTCGACTTGGGGTTTTCCAAGTTTTGAGAGCATCAATGATTACTTATTTTTTCTCCTCGATTTTCTCTGGGTTTTAAGGTTTAGTTTCTGAGTCATGAGCTCGTGGTCCCAGGAGTCATTGATGTCGAGGCAATTAAGGCTTTCGGGGATAATGAGTATTACAGGGGCTTCTGTTGCTTCTGTTTTCCTTGAGATGATTTTTATTGATTGTTGATGGTGGAAGTGTGGGGGGATTTATTATTTCATTTTATCTGATTGCAGGGCATCAGCACGATGAAGGCCAAGAGTAAGAGTAAGAGGAATGTACGTAAATTCGGTAGATTGAAGATCAATCAGAAAGAGGAACCACCCAGCAATGATGATAGCATTGATTTGTCCAATTTACGTAAGCCTATTCCAACGAGTTTGTCGAGTTTACGACAAGTGGCTAAGCTGTTTGATACCGGAAATAATGAAGTTAAATCGATACTTGATTATGAGTGTGAAGTCATTTATGAATGTAGAATCTGCAGGAGTTTGTTCAGGAGTTTGGCGAATTTTATATCCCACAAGAGGGTTTACTGCAGGGTTAAATTCGATATTTCTACGGATAAGAGCGCCATCGATCCGCCTGGAATGGTAAGAATATCACTCAGAAATCCTCATTATCTGCTATTTTTTACACTGACGATTTATAGAGCAATTGGGAGCATTAATTTCGGTATTTGCTAGGCTTGAGTTAACTAGGGAGGGGAGAGGCGACATTTTGGAAGGAGAAGGCGTGGGATAGAATATTTACAAACTTATAGTTATTCTGGCTTTTCTCCATATTTGGAAAGTATGATTTTTTCTAGAGTTCAAATTATTTGGTACTCATTAGTGTTATCAATTATTGAATAATTCGAGATATTAATGATGATTAGGATTTTTTTTTGTTGAATATTTGAGATTATTAATCCTTTTGTCGGGTCTGGCTTTCTGGAAGGTTCGACGAGTCTAGTGTAATGGGTAATAATGTAATTAAAAAATGTAATTGAGTAATCCTTGAATATTCGATATTAAAAGTTTTATATGCCCCCCCAATCCCTCATTGTTTAAATAATTTGGTATTCAATTAGATGTTGTCAGTCAGTTGTCACAAGTTTTTTTTTAGTGTACTAATGACCTCTACGATTGTGTAGTATATATTTTTTTTTAATACTCTGGGTGGAATTATTTTCATTGGACTCAGATCAGATTTTCAGATGAAATTGTTACAGGCAGGAATAATTTTCCTCGTTTAATCTTCTAGTAAATTTTATAAAACGTCGAGTCATTCTGGAAACGACTAGGTATAGAAAATAAATCAAGACTGCTTGTTGTAAATTTCAATAGATATCTCTAGAATCTCCATTGAATGCCATGGAATTCATGAAAACAATAATTTTTTGTTTCTTTCATTCATTCATTTAATGAATAATTTTCTGAACTGAAATTACTCATTTCAATTGATCGGTTTAAAATAATTGTAATAATTCCTTGGGGTTTAAAAAACATTCTGCAAAAAGAAAAATCTCAATCGAAGGAAAATTAACTTTTTCTTCTATATATGGGATGAAATCGATTCTAATAATTATTTTTTAATTATTGAAAAGTTTTCCAATTGTTCTAGAAACTTTCGCATTTCACCATGACCTCTCCGCAATATTTTCAGGAACATCATAGAAAATAATTTATCTAAAATGTCACTCTTCATTAATAATTAATTTACCATTTAGTTGAACGATTTTCTGATTAATAAAATATTATTCAACATTTTATCCAATTTTGTTGAAATTAATTCGTGAAATAAATAATAACCGAAAAAATGTCATTTTCAGCCAATTCTCATTCCCAACATCGCGAACCCATCAACCTCGGACACCGAATCCAAGGAGAACTGCCGGAATGATCGTTCCTCCAGGAATCAGCCCCCAGATCCTGTCCCTCGTAAAGACCTGACCTCAGTGGTGGCAATGCTCCAAAAACGAAAAACGGAGGAGAATTTAGGTGCTCCACGAGCTTCACCACCCCTCCGTATAATCGCAGACACAGAACAGGTCCTGCTGGAGGTGCTGGACTCAAATCCTGTGGCCTATCAGACAGTCCTAGAGCCAACGCACACAGAAATTGACTCCACAGATCTAATGAAAGCTCAAGCAAACGAAGTACAAAATATTCTGAGTCGTAACACAGCGGTTCTCGGTCCGGATGGTCAACTGATCGAAGTGAGTCATCTGGAGAAATCAGATAGTCCTCTGCAGTTTCTGGATAACCCTGAGGACTCATTGTCCTCCACTTCCTCAGCTGAGACAAATCTCATCTGCTCACTGTGCGATGCCAAATTCGCTACCAAGAAAACCCTGACATTTCACATGAAATCACTGCACACACCTCACCGCATGGTGTATCCATGTCCCTGTTGCGAGAGTCTCTTCACGAATCCCTGGGGTGTCTATCGTCATCTGTACAAGATCCACAGGAAGAGCAACGAGCAGGTGAGAAAATTGAGGGCACAGATACAGGAAAAAGCTTACAGAACTGAATCAACACGTGCTCAGGACATTGAAAAAGACTGTGCTAATAGCAAATTAAATAACAATCACGAGCCAATGATTAATGAGACAGAAGAGTGGATGGCACATCTGGAGAGTGATGGGGAGTTGCAGAGGTGTGGTGGATGTGGAAAAAGATTTGACAGGAAAGCTGCACTTTTATCGCACTCGCAAATCTGTCAGAAGAGAATTGCAGCGTGCAGTGATGGTGCTGCAAGACTCAAGAGACAGCAAAAGTCATCGGAAATTGTACTCGAGACCTCGACATTGACACCTCTCACCACTAGAGTGTCAATACCTGAGGGGAGTATTTCTGTCAAGGATATCATTCCGAAGGTGGTGAAGGATAGCCAGAAGGAGGAGGTCGTCAGGCTGCCTAATCTGTCATCAGCTGTGACCCTGACTAGACTTGGACAGGAGCCAGAGATTGGTATCAGGGTGGAAGGGATCAGCACCTTGAGCAAGGACGCTTGGGAGAAAATGGGAGGTGATGGAGCTGAAGACCTCGAGGGAACCATTGAGTCCGGCATTGGGGATTTTCAGAATGGAGTCAAGGTGGAGAAGAGGGACGATGAGGAGGAGATGGATGATGATCCTGAGATCATCTTTACGAAGATCGAGAAGATCAAGGGTGCTGTGGGGAATAGTGTCACGGGGAAGAGGAGGAAGAGAGTGGCGCAGACAGAGAGACGAAATTCTCATTCTTCATTGCTCAAACGCAGCAGAACTTCATCGTTGAAGGAGACATCCGAGTCAGGGCGTCCTGTCTCCAGTCGTGTCAAAGCCATTGAACACAGAATAGCAACAATTGCAGATCTACCAAAACTGCATTGTCTTCCCTGTAACAAAAAATTCTCCAGTATGGCTCATCTCCGTAGGCACATGGCAATTCATATCAATTGGAATCGATATCGATGCAAGGTCTGTGGATTCAAATGCTATGAGAAAGTCGACTGCGTTGCTCACTGCAATATGGCTCATGATGCCAAGAATAATCGCATCGCTATCGCTGGAATGATGACGGAAATTCAAATCGATGAAAGTACTCTGTGTAATGCTGCTGGTCGGAGTCTATTGAAGAAACAGAATAAGGAAGCTGCTTATCTTGAAGTTATAGATGTTACCAAGGCTAATACCACTTCTCATGATATTGCTAATGCCAATGAGGAGATGGACTGCATACAGAACGGTAAATTATATTATTTTTAATTGCTTTAGTACAATTTTAGGGAAGAATCACTCTGAAAAATTTAGTCCTGCTAAATAATCCTGAGATTTTTTCTACGAACCTATTGGTATTGAAGTCGATTTTAAAAAATTGGGATTACTCTGAATTAAATACTTTAAATTCCCAATGTTTTGAAGTCATTGTTAGAAATTGTTGAGAAATTTAAACTTATTGACTTTATTAATTACAATTATCTGGATATAATTATTTATGATATTTATGATAACTAGTCTTTGTTTTGGGATTTGAGGGCCATTTTTCTGATTTTTCATGTCAAATTTTGTTTTCGTGTCAAGTTTTTCCCCTGGGATTATTTGAATTATTTGGATTATTTGAATTGCAGGTGACGTGAACTCGTCGAAGAAAACTCTTGATTCGGATTTGGATGACCGCGCAGAAGACTCATCTGACCGTTCGAAAAGGGTAAAACTGGACGAAGACCCAGAGCTCCGGAGAATGGTGATGGAGGTGATCTTCGGTTCGTCAGAGAGTTCCTCATCCCCGAGTGACCAATCCCTCAGCAGTGCAAACACTCCAAAACCCATGGAGCATGAACCAATTGATCAGCGAAGTACCTCATCAAGTCCTACATCAATTGACCTCCTGAATCAATCACCGAAGACCACAGAATCACCGAAAAATGAGGACAAAGTGCAAAGACCAACGCGAATTCGATCAAAAGTCATCGATAAAGATTTCATCTATGATCTGGATGCTGTACTGATGCAGGAGCCAGTGATGATGAAGGAAAACAGTAATGAAACTGCTCTCAAATCCTCAAATGATAAAAAACGTAATTCAATTGAGGTGAATGATTTCAAAGGTGGTGATGATCTCACTGTCGTCGTCTACACGAGTGATGAAGTTGATAATAAATTGCAGGAGATACCCAAGACCAATATCATCGTCTGTGACAAGTAAATTCTGATAATCGGAGGCCTGAAATTTTATTTGTCTCTCATTGAAAAATTTACATGTAAAATTATGAATATCGATATTTTTTTTTTTCGCTTATTCGAATGATTTATTCCATTTTTCGTTGTAACTTTTCTCTTTTCATCGTTTATCTCGTTCGGTTTTGCAAGGATCATACAATATGATTGACAGTATTTATCCAATTTATTCATTGGGACGTTCAACAAACACATGACTGTGTTTTATATGATGATGAATTATAATTATCCATGTACAAGGGACAGTGTTGATATTGTATTGCTATTTTTTGTCCCGTTGTATATACAATGGAGGAACATTGATCGATTGTACGTGAATGTATTCTAAGGGAAATAAAATTTAAAAATCAGTTGAACCGTTGGATTTTTGTCAGGTGGTGAATCCTCCAAGGAATCCTCAGGTTTTCTAGATCTCTCTGCAATAAACAACTCCATAGCCCCATATTACAATATTTTTTATTAATTAAATTGTTAATTAAGGGAAACCGTCAATTTTGTTCATGAGATTCCGTTTGTATCTTTAGTCTAGGAAATAAATTTAGTACAAAAAAAAGGAATTAATTGAGGAGTCAATCTTAATTAAAATGGAGCTGTTTAACAAATTACTGATTATTATGCAGATTCAATTGAGCTAGAGGATTTCTGTTGGATAATTTTGTTTATTTGGAATTTATTTACTCAATATTTTTTCATTTATTTCGGGAATTATTTTTGTAGAAATAAATCGGTCGAAATTTTTCAGTACAGATTTTATTCTTTTTTGTATAGAATATAATTAAATGGATAAATATTTTAAATAATAATGTCTACGTGATCTCTCGCACGTGCGTTTCCATTTTCTCGTCTCGTGGATTTGGTTTTAATTTTACGCTTACGTTCATTCGAGTTCTTCGATATATATCGGGAGCGATTTCCTTTCTCCTTTTTTACGATAGGATATAATATATATATAATATGTAATAGGGTTGTAAGAGTTCCTTCGCATTTCCTGACACTTTCATCACACATTTTTAATTCTTTAAATTTCTCTGATGATAATCGACATGTCATCATGGCTCAAAAGACTTCCTAGAGTAATTACCGTAATAGTAATTTGGAGTTTATGACGGTAATTTCCTTTCTTCGAACTCGTTAACTACTCGAGGATCGATGATGAAGTGAAGATTGCATCGCATGCAGAACTAAAGAAACTGATTTTTGAAAAAATCAAATTCTATTCGAAAAAGAAGAGAATAAAATTAAATTTGATAAATTACGTCACGATCCAATGATGGAAAATAAAATACTATAGTATTGCCAATTAATAATTAACTTTTCATTGATTTATTCAATTTTTTTTTGTGGAAACACGGAATAGTATATTTCGTAACAAGTGCGGAAAAGTGATTTTCAACGAAAAATATTGTTCGCAACTAATGCAGAAAGTTCTTTTTTGGCATTTTGTTAAAAATAATTTTTCCGCACTTGTGACGAAAACTAAAATTCCCGCACTTGTGACGAAAACTAAAATTCCCGCACTAGTTACGAAATATATTATTTTCTAGTGAGCAATGTAATTCCGATGAATTATTTTCTTCATTGGATTATAATCGGAGCGATGGATCTCACGTGGTAATTCTCATGGATCAAAAGTTGGGAAATAATTTAAAAAATCCCGGGAATTCGGCGGGAAGTGGGGGAGTCGTTCGATGTAAACAAGTCGTGAGGCGCAGGTGGAAAGTGATGGGTTGGGAGGGAGACAAAATTGTGAGGTCGAGTCAGACGCGCGGAGACCGCCGCCGAGTTTAGTTTAACCTCCGAATTTCATCACAAATTATTCCAAATCCCCCATCTCTCGTGATCGTAAAAAATCCCTCGATAAAAAATACTCCCAAAAAATTCTAAACCATCACCCAAAGTGAAACAACAAAAGTGGCAAATGTACGTTCTCGAATGAAAGTGAATTGTGTAGTGATAAAAGGTTTTGTGAATTTGATCGAGTGAATAAAATAGCCGGATAATTTTTCATCTCATCATTTTGAAGCTGTGGGTGAGTACATGATTATTCTAGTGCTCATAACCTTGAGGTGCAATTGTTATTTATCACGTAATTCGACTCCTCTGACGTTTGTTTATTTTTCTTTGAGGGATTTGACTCTCGGCAGCCATTAACCAGTCGTCTTTGTCCCTTCGATTGTCTTTTATTTTGGGGATATTCCGATATTTTTTTTCTCTTTTCGGAATGCTGCTTGACCAGAGCTGGGTTTTTTTTTCTGGGTGACCGTTAATTTTCGGAGAAATGTTGATTGCTTTCCGTAAAGACCACTTGTTGCTGCTTGATGAGTAACAAACGTTCAGACGTTTATGTTTATTTTTATCGGTGAGATGAAAGCTAGATGATGATTGCGGAATTATCTGGAAAACTTCCAGAGATGTTCTATGAATTATCACGATTTACATACGATAATTGGGGTAATTACCGTATGTCCTTATTCAGAGACGCTTCAATTGACTCGTGACAATAAATATTTTTATGTACACGGAATTCCAATGGGTTTGCGTGATTTTTAAATAGTTATTTCGCGTTGAGTGGATTCATTTCATTTCATTCATTTCTTTGGAGTACTCTAATGAATGTCTGATGAGTCTGGAAATTTTTTTTCAATCTCAGCTTATGCTATATTTTATTTAGTTATTCAATTATAATTGAACCTGCTCTCTTGAATATCCGGGAAATTGTTTAAATACTTTAGACTCGTTCTAAATCTCGGAAAGACACTCGTAATTTTACGTTGGACGAGTCTTTCAGGATTTGCTCTAAATAAATATTTTATAAATAATGAGGTAATCGTTTGCAAGGTCTTTCTCATTTCTAGATCTCAAGGAGACTTCGAACTCTCCTCTCTGAAAATAAACTTTGCATGCGATTACTTGAATCATGAAAATTCAAATGGAATATTCTTTCTCGAATAGAACAGGAACTATTGATGTTGCGAAATTACTCCTGGAGTTGTAGAAAAACTTGTGAATCTCATTCATCTCAATTTTTTTGTGAAAAAAGACTATCACAGTTTTGAATATTTAATGAGACTCTAATTTATTTAAATAACTCAATTAAACAAAGAATTTAGGAATATTCATTTAGTTAACAATTTTTTCAATCTTTGAAATGAGAATTTTCTTGAAGCATTTCACCTCAAATTAAATTAAAACACAAAAAATGAAGAATTTTGATTAACAAATGAATAATTAATATCAATAATTATGAACAACAAAATAATCAATACCAGAACAAGAACATTAATCGGTTTTAGAAAAAAAAAATTAACGATCTTCACTAGAATAATTTATTTATAATTTTTTTTTTGTGTTAGTAATGATATAAAATGATTTTCGTGAAATATTCTCATACAAAATTATTCTTAAACTTGTTCAATAAATAAATATGATGGGTAAATGAAGGAATGATGAACAAAACGTCAGAAGACAGTTAATAAAATAAAATACTGGAGTTCTTCCTGATATTTTGAATAATTTTCCAACTTCTTCCTCTGCTTTCACGTATGATATAATCTAACTGAACTTTAAAGTCGATGCTGAAAAATTCACCTGCTATTACCCATTATAGCTATCTACTCTTACACTCTCTACATTCAAATAAAACAGGCCATAATCTAAAACATTACCGAGAGAATTGGAAACAACTCACCAAATGATCGTTCTTACTTACGTAAAAAGCAATTCCATTGAAACGACCGAGTACTTTCCGCCCACAATTCTCGTTGAGATAATCCTAGAAGGATTGATGATTCCAGTTCTGAGGATAGGAAAGGTAGAAAAAATTTTTGCTTCGGAGAGTTAATAAAATCTCGAGTCAAGTTGTAAAATGAGGTATGTTAACTCAGCTCTTCGAGCTTTTTTTGACAATATCTTGGAAACTAACGGAGATGGCGAAATTTTTATCAGAATCTTTTTCGTAGCTCTCGATTAGCTCTAGAATAATTATTCCAGTGAAAATTTTCGTATCTTCGTTCACTGCGGAGATATTTGTAATTAACTCACCGAAGGAGTTGAACTTTCCTCGTTTTTCCACTTCATTTTAATTATCAGTTTATCACTTAGGACTGGGACTGATAATTCATTTAAAATCTGCTTTGCGATTAAATAAAAAGGGATTTTATTTTGATAGATCGAGTCGACGGGAATTCAGTCGATAAAACTCGAAAAATATTTATTTAAAAAGGATTTGACTCGCTTTAGCCTATTGTTTAAATAAATCAATTAATTATTGAGTAGAGGTTTAATTGATGATAATTCTGTTGGAGGGGAAAATCAAGAGAGCTAAGCTAATTATTTGAGTATGTAAAACAATTGGAGGAAAGTTGATAAAAAGTTATTACAAAATTCGTTAATGATTTTGATTATTCACTGATGTCTGGTCATCAGTTTTTCGGCTCTTCTGTGAAATTACCATTTTATCGGTTGGATGTTGAAGCCGAAAGGCAATCGGGAGGTAAATTACAATCTTGATTGCACGTCGAATGGGTACGCGATGAGGATACAATGCTCCAGGTTTCGTACACGCACGTGAGCATGACTTCCTTCTGTGGCAATAGATACAGGGATAAATGCTGCTTTCTCTTTGCCTTCTAAAGACAACCGTCACTTGATCGATTTTAAGAATAATTTATAATAAAAACCCTCAAAAAACGGAAACTACTTTGAAATAGAAATATTTAAAGCAAAATATCTTGATTTTTTCATTTCCAATTTAATTAATTTCAATTATAATAATCATTTCAATCATTCAGAGATAATTGATTATTGTCTTAAACAAGTCATTCTGAATTTTCAATTGAATTCAATTTGATTTTCATTGAATTTGTATTTTAATTGAAAATAGTAAGTAACTAGGACAATTGCATTTTTTTTTTTTTGGAGATCAGTTTTTTGTGAATATCTCGCAATTGAAGAGAGATAGCGATGTTTTCGGTTATACGTTTTTTGTGGAGAAAAGGGAGCACTACAAAAAAGGTAATTACGAAAATATCGATATTTTCGTTCAGACACAAGATATTTGGGGGAAATGCGTCTAGAGAAAATGTACGTTTATTCTAGTTTGCCAGTTCACGACTAAATTATCAAATCTCTATTAATTGTTATTTAAAAAATGAACTAATGTTTAATTTCCATCGATTTATACACTAAATTTATGCATACGGAATATGCATTATCTATTTTCTTTTCTTTTTATATTATCGTGACAGTATTAAACATCAAACTAATGCGAAATGTAATGTTCACGCTGCATGAGCAATTAGTCATTCATTGATTAGTTAAACAAATTGTTTAACACCAGTGATTAGATTGTCTTCCTCGTGGAAATGGTGAACAGCTAATTTGGGTTATTTTGAAAGTGAAATGAGGAAGATTACAGAAAAAACGGGAGCACAGGTTGGGTATTGTGTTTATTCTAATTAGACCGTTAGTTGTAAAAGTTTTAATTGTTCATTCAGAATTTCGTGTTCTCGTGGGGTTCCGGATTATATAAAATCAATACAGATACAGAAGAGACATTTTTATTCGCTTCGAAGCAATTATTTAAACAATAAAATATTAATTTATATGATTTTTCGATAGAAATTGAATTTCTAATCTGTTACAACCAAAATTAATCAATAATTAATTAAAACGTCTTGAATTCTGTTTCCAGGGGGGGACATTTAATTTCATTTAAAAATCTTTAACAATTTTCGACTTTTCGTGCCCCAGAAAAATTCGACAATTTTTTCGTCATAAATAAATAAAAATTAAATTCATTAAGAAATAATAATCATAATAATGTAATAATTAATAAACAATTATTAGATTATTCAATCAATTGATTATGAAATTATTAGATTATTATTATTTTTTCATGATTTTCAGAATTTATTGACAAATTTTTCCCTCTCATATTTTTTTTTTGTCAGACTTTCATTATTCCAGTGAAAACAATTTTTTCCCCCGGTGTCTAGTGCAAAATGAAACGGAAATTCATCCGTAATCGAGAATTTATCGAGACAGTGGAAAAATTGCACGTGACATTTGTTTTGTCACGCAACACGCAAAGTGGCCGTGTAAATTCGTGTCGTGGACGAGCAAATACTGCCATTTTTCCCTGTTATTTATGTTTTTTTTACTCTCAAGCATTAAAAAAAAAAGGCACCACATGTGGCTGAGTCGATGCCAGGGAATGGTTGCGACGTACATTAATGGAATATTCAGTAAAAATTACGGAGTCCGCAAGAAATTCCCATGAAAAATAAAATCAAATACGGAAATTGAAAGTGAATATTAATTTTTTTTTGTCACTTTATAAATTTTTTTTCACTTTATTTTATCTTTGTAATATTGAAAAGTTTATGCAAATTGATAACTAAATGTTCAGAAACATTTGAGTAATAATGAGTAATAATTACAGAAGTCAGAAAAATTCAAATAAAAATCACAAAATCTAAATTATGAAATGATTTCTCAATTGAATTTTTTTCCTTTACGGATCTGCGGATGGAATACGCAATTTTTATTGAATATTTCCTTTCGTGTGGAGAAACCAATAATTAGCTATAATTAGCTAAATTAATTAAAGACTATAAAATAAATTTACTGGACAACAGCCATTTTTTTTCTCGTGCATACATGAAGAAAATTATAGATTTCGTCAACTCTAGATTTTTCAAATTTCTAATGTTTAAACAAATATGAGTAAAACATATGTTTTATATATATTTTGAAAATCGACTTTAATTTTCCGTTTTTTCTCCATTAATTCCGATATTCCGAAATTTTTCCAGAATTTCCTTGGATTCTCAACAAAAATTAAATTTTCAGTATGATATCTCGATTAAAATTAATAAACCGTTTAATTAGAGATGATTAATGAATTTGAAACATCCATTATTAAAAAATCAAAGAATAAAATTTTCCAAATTTTTCTTAATCAATAAAACCACAATGACCTACTCTATAAATTTTTTATAAAAAAAAATCTGGAATTGAACTGCGAAA